GGGGGGGGGGCATAATGTTGGAGGGGGCGGAATGTTGGAGTAGGCGGGATGTTGGAGTTGGCGGGATGTTGGAGTAGGCGGGATGTTGGGGGGGCGTAGTGTTGGAGGGGGCGGGATGTTGGAGTAGGCGGGATGTGGGAGGGGGCGGGATTTCGGAGCGGGTGGGATATCGTAGTTTGAGAATGCCTGTGAGTGTTGCAGCTGTTGGTTAGTCCAATCTTTGTTGAGCCAGCTTGTCAAGCTCACCTTCAATCTGCGAAAGTTTCTGCTCTCTCTTCACTGAAACGACAGATTGAAACAGGTGGGAATTAAGCTTGGTTTAGGTGGGAGAACTGGGAGAAGTGGCGTGGTGGGATTTGGGGGATATAAACTAACTGTCCATTTATTCCTCTTAAATCAACGGCAGGCGGATCTTCAGACTGAGCAAGTCTCACAATTGACCAATCTTCTGTCTACAAATGCAAAGTAAAGTTATTGTACAAGACGCATTAAGCCACAGGTACGATGACGTTATTCATTGATAGAGAAATGTCTCAAGATAAAAGTAGCAGTGAACGATAGGAAGACACTTGAGGTCAGACCAAACTGAGGGAACCAATGGATTTCATTACTTAAATTTTAAACAGGAGTTGCGGTCATTTGACTTTACAAATGTAGATCAGGTTTTTAACTTTCACGATATTTCGATACCGGTACGTTTTCCCCTAGACACTGAGACTAGTTTATGAGAAGAGGGGTCACGGCCAGTGGCGTAGCTAAAGGTGTAATTTCGGGTTCTCTGGGTTTACTTTATTTTAAAATACCAAAACGTATACCGGAGTTAGGTAATGGAAGTCTACCCTCGTTCAAAAAATATCCCTTTACAATTTAACACAAGTCCGGGTCGTAGCTGGCGGCAGGGCCGGCCTTAGGCCACTGCAACCTATGCGGCCGCAATGGGCCCCGCACTTTCATAGGCCGCGCTAACTCTAGGTGTAAATTATTAAATTAAACCATTATAACTTATAATCATGTACAGGTCAGCCAGCGTGTTTATTCTGTTTTTAGGTTTTTAGCATTGACGTCATCAACAGACCAGTCCGCAGATATATGTGGGCGAGAATTAGCAGATGAAATGGAATCTTTAGGACATATTCTACCAAATGACGCCAATACCCCGGTAGAAATTGTTGGCTTATCTGTCCACTAATGAAAGATACACTGCTTCCCAAACTACTTTGTTGCACTCAGAATAGTTTTAACAATACCCGTAACTGTGGCATCTGGTGAAAGAAGCTTCTCGCGCCTCCTAATCAAGAATTACTTGAGGTCAACAATTCCCGAAGATAGATTGAACAATTTGGCAATTCTTGCTATTGAGCGTGATCTAATGTAGGGAACAGAATTTTTATGATGTACTGTATGACTTGGCTACACGCAAGGCTCGTAAAGTAACGTTAATTTGATCGTAATTTTGTGGAGGTTTGCTAACAACTGACCTCAGAGCGTTGAACCAAAGTAGGCCATCGTGTTGACCATTTAAGAAAAGAAACAGTTTCAGGCAGAACAAAGGAGGCAGCAGTTGGTTTCATTCTGACCTAACTATCAAATCCACCTAAAACAAATTAATTCGTTGACAATATCGGAATGGTGCATGTATTATTGGGTAAGAAATTACTGCATTATTGGATTATACATAGACTTAAAGTGAAGACATCTTTTTTTTTTTTTTGCCGGGGGGGGGGGGGCAGTATAGAATATTAAACTAGATCCTAGGTCAGTGCTGTCCAATCCACGGTCTTTGGACGATATCTGACCCGTCAAGGGCATCAATCCAGTCAAAAAATTACAGTCAAAGCAAAGNAGTGAAGACATCTTTTTTTTTTTTTGCCGGGGGGGGGGGTCAGTATAGAATATTAAACTAGATCCTAGGTCAGTGCTGTCCAATCCACGGTCTTTGGACGATATCTGACCCGTCAAGGTCATCAATCCAGTCAAAAAATTACAGTCAAAGCAAAGTTTTTTTGAAACACATTACATAATTGGTTACAAATATCTCATCCACTGAGCTCCACGTGATCTTCTGACATTGCTGGAAAGCAAAAGATGCAATCAATGTTGTGTTTTCACTCAAAAGGTCCTATCTCGTGCCCGTTTAGTTGTCAGCAATGACTAGACACTGCAGCACAAGGCCAACCAGCTGAGTAACCTTTCCACACTGTAGAATGGAGCGGGCTGATTGGTTAGTTATTCTCAGACAAAATAGTTATAATTTTTGTAACGATTTGAGCGATTATTACAATTATGATTGGTCCAGACCCAAGAGGTCATGATCTCGTGACTGTCCTCCGTCATGCTATTTTTAGGATCATGTGACACGAAAGTTGAATCCGTTCAATCAACAAGTCGCCATCTCTTGACACGCAAGTCATACGACTGAATCTCTTGATGGTCAATATGTGTGTGCCTGTATCAAGAACGAGCTAATCTGTCAACTTGTTATCACCTCTTGGCTGTTTCTCGGCCACAATAATCTCTCACCAAATGTCCTATCAGTGTTATTTACGTGGGGCTTCCAACTATACACTAACTGTGTTCGCTATTGTCGTGTTCCACCACTTCAGCCGTAGATGGAAAAACTACAGTAATATTAGGATTTAAATTTAAAAATAATAAATGCTAAATATAAAATTAAATAGCTAAATTATTTTTTTGAAAGGATCTATCTTCGAATTATTGATAATTATAACTCTGATACATAATTATCTTAATGTCAAAATGATGTCACAAATGCTACTAGCTGGCGCTGAATGTACTCATTAAGAAAATCCCGATAACTGCCCTAAGTCAGATACTTGAAAATATCGCAAGTGCGTTTTGTGCGATTAAATTAAATCTCCTTGGGTGGGACTCACATTATGACATGGTTCAGGGGGTTGTGGTGTACCGAGGCAGGGGGTGGGGGTAGCCCTGATAAGGATTCTTGTAAAGTGTTTTACTTGAATGTATGTTTTGTCAAGTAACTTTAGTGGATGGGAAGTTGACGCATCGCTGACGTCATTTGTTATGCGGGCAATAGCTAGCAACTCTGACTTCTCTTCTTCTTCTTCTATATCTTAAGGGCCCACGATCAATTTATTGATCATTTTGGCTCCTATGCATGTAGATGGGATTTGCAATGTTTCTGTTACTGGTGGTGATGAGGAAATTATGCACTAGGGGTTTGAAGGCTTAAGGCAATAGACACAAATGTGTCTAGTGTTGTCGCCTCAACTGTTACTCCTATGCATGTAGATGGGATTTGCAATGTTTCTGTTACTGGTGGTGATGAGGAAATTATGCACTAGGGGTTTGAAGGCTTAAGGCAATAGACACAAATGTGTCTAGTGTTGTCGCCTCAACTGTTCCTTTTGAAAGATGGTTCCAGTCCCTGATTGTCATGGGCAGGAACGAGCAGCTCCTATACTGGCTTCTTGCTGGTATGAGCCTGAATTGCCTGTCATGGCCTCGTCGCTGTCTATGGGGGAGAGGGACGAGTTTCTGTTTAATACTGGAACAGTGGACCAGCCCATTATTTATCTTGTACATCATGGAGAGTCTGGATTGTCGTCGTCGTTTCTCCAATGGTGACCAGCCTAGTGTTTCTAGCATGCTGCCAACACTAGAGGTATTCCTGTAGCGGTTTAGGACAAAACGTGCTGCTCGTCGCTGGACCGCCTCCAACTTGTCAATGCTCTTCTGGGTAAATGGGTCCCAGACTGAAGATGCATAATCTAAAATCGGACGGATAAAGGCTTTATATGCTCTTTCTTTCTGCTGAGTTCTTTGGAGTAGCGCTGTGTTGATGCATATTTGTTATCGCCAAATTTTTTTAATATGCCTCGTCTAGGCCTCGTCAATGCGACGCTATCTTTGTTGTTGTTGTTGTAAATGGTTGTGACTATTTTACAGGGGCGGTGGTCCAACCTTAGCTATTCTTTGAACACTATATAATGCTGCGCTTTCCTGAACAGAAATAAAATCTAATCGGGTTTGAGTCATTACATGTTGTTGTTTTTTATCTTGACGGCAACAAGGGTGTCCAGATCCATAAACTACCCCCACCCACCAGCCAGGGCCGGCCCTAACAATTGCGGGGCCCTAATGCGAAACGGATTGCGCGGGGCCCAGCCTGGTTAGAGATAAGGATAATAAGTGAAAATTAAGATTTTGTATTAGAAAATAAATTAATCTTTGTATTTTATTCATTCTTTGCTAAGTACAAAATCACGATCAAATTAACTTTACTTTACGAGCGTTGATGCTACTAGCAATAGTGATTCAAGTGAAGAAGATAATAGTAATAGTGGCGACATCGATGACAACGGACCTATCAGTTCCACACCAACTGATCAGCAAGTTTCATGAGTGGTCTGGGAATTGTTCTCAAATCAAAGTCGGAGGGGTCCCTGAAACTGTTGTTTTTTTTTTTTTGGTCCAACTTTTGCTTTCATCATTTCTTTGCATTTAGGTATTTTTTTTTCTATTTTTTTTTCTTGCTTATGGTTTATTTTCTGTAACTTAATTAAAGAACCTTCATTTAAAATGGAGTTATGTCCCTTTGCTTGGTTGCTGGGAGTAGACCAGGCTGACTAGGCTTGGACTGTAAAGGATTATGAACGGTTTCTGTTACATCTTACCCCAAGTTCCCCTCAAGGACCAGTTTAGAGATAAAGCACCGAGCAGCTACAATTTTTTTTTCAATTTTATTGACTAGTCGTAATCACTTGAAACAACGACGTATTAGATTAAAAAACACTGTACAAACATAAAAACAGAATAAACACGCTGACCTATATATGATTATAAGTTATAATGGTTTAATTTAATAATTTACACCTAGAATTAGCGCGGGGCCCACTGGGGCCGCATAGGTTGCAGTGGCCTAAGGCCGGCTCTGGTCCAAAGGTTGGTACGATATGTGACAAGGTTGGTACGATATGTCACAAGGTTGGTACGATATGTCACAAGGTTGGTACGATATGTGACAAGGTTGGTACGATATGTGACAAGGTTGGTACGATATGTCAGAAGTTTGGTACGATATGTCACAAGGTTGGTACGATATGTGACAAGGTTGGTACGATATGTCAGAAGGTTGGTACGATATGTCACAAGGTTGGTACAATATGTCCCAAGGTTGGTACGATATGTCCCAAGGTTGATACGATGTGTCACAAGGTTGGTACGATATGTCCCAAGGTTGGTACGATATGTCCCAAGGTTGGTACGACATGTCACAAGGTTGGTACGACATGTCACACGGTTGGTACGATATGTCACAAGGTTGGTACAATATGTCACAAGGTTTGTACCATATGTCCCAATGTTGGTACGATATGTCACAAGGTTGGTACGATATGTCACAAGGTTGGTACGATCTGTCACAAGGTTGATACGATATGGTAATGGTCACCACCAACAGAGTCTATAGCAACCACCGCCTTCCCTCCAAACCATACCAAAATCGCTACCTAAATTATTTTGTTTCAATGCGCTGCCTACATTTGCATTTCCATTGGCTACCTACATTTCTCTTTCAAATCTTGCATGACTTCCTCCACAGTCATTCCGAGCTTGTTGATGAGGGCGACATCTTGAACGAGCCTGTCCTCTACCGTCCTGATGGCTGGGGACAACAAGTTAGACACGTGTTAGAGACGTGTCATAGACGTGTCACATACGCGTCATATTCGTGTCATATATGTATTATGTACGTGTTATACACGTTTGAAACACGAGTCATATACGTGTCATATACGTGACATTTACACGTTTTAAGATCAGATTTAGATTATATAACATTTAAAATCCATGAAGCCCCTTTTTAAAAATACCGTAAATAGCCAACATTTCGTTCTGTATAAAGAAGTGAGAAAGGTGGCTAAAACGAGGTCTCTCTGCCACTCTGGTAGACTCTCTGACCTAGGCCTACACAACATACGGTCCGCGGGCCACTCTCTGTCACTCTGGTAGACTCTCTGACCTAGGCCTACACAACATACGGTCCGCGGGCCACTCTCTGTCACTCTGGTAGACTCTCTGACCTAGGCCTACACAACATACGGTCCGCGGGCCACTCTCTGCCACTCTGGTAGACTCTCTGACCTAGGCCTACACAACAGACGGTCCGCGGGCCACTCTCTGTCACTCTGGTAGACTCTCTGACCTAGGCCTACACAACATACGGTCCGCGGGCCACTCTCTGTCACTCTGGTAGACTCTCTGACCTAGGCCTACACAACATACGGTCTTTTGTTTGATGGAAAGGTCGTGGTGGGGGGGGGGCACAAATTACGTCACGGTCGAGAATTTGTGACACTTTGTGAAAGGGGGGATTTTTTTTAATTTTATGTTTTCTAATTATGAAAAAATGTCCATTCAATTAATGTTAAAGACATGAATTTGAGGTCGAAATTGCCTCCGGAATTCTAGGTACCGTGAACCTCAGGCGTGCCCACCTTCTGTGGATCTCGACAAAAACCGTTGTGGCCATTTTCCATTCGGCGTGGGGATCTTGTCTTTGTTTCACGTCACAGTTTTCTAATAATACTACATTTGAATCCAGGCCCGCACTACATACGGCCCGCCAGCACCCACTTTGCGGCCCGCGGAGTAACGAAATATTCTTTATTATTATAATTTCTTAATAGCTTCCGGACCTATCCTGTTATCTTTTGGCCCGCACACGTTTTTCATTAAGTAATACGGACCGCAAATTTTTTTCATAACGCATTACGGCTCGCCTTACACTTTGAATTGTGCAGGCCTGTCTTAATCCATTATTGGGAAAATGTTACAGAATAAAATCAAATCTTAATTTAGTTATGCACATTTTATGTTTCTTTTGATGTTCTTAGGCGTGACGTGAGACACTGGAGTGTGCGTGTGTGTGTGGGGGGGGGGGATTAAAGAAGTTGTGACACTTTGTGACAGGAGGGGGAGGGGGGTCTAAAAAAGGTCATTTTTTGCGTGACGTAATTTGCGAACGACCCCTTGGTGTAATAAATCTGCGGTGTAAAAGGGGTCGGACATTAGAACATTAATATAGTTCAGGGGTGCTGGCGTACAGGAGAGAGGAGGGTAGAAATAATTGGGATTCTTATAAAGTGCATTCCTTGAATGTGTGTTTTGTCAAGTACCTTAAGTAGATGGGAAGTTGACGTATGGTGCCCGCCATCAATTGGCAGGATTAACTGGTTCATTTCAAGATAAGTATCTTGATCGTCTACAAAGACTACAGTCACATCATGCTATAGTTATACACTTACTTGACCCCCCCCCCCCCCCCCAAAAAAAAACACACAAAAAAAAACATGTTGGTCCTACGTACCTTCCTTTCTAAGTAAGTCATTTCTTGTCTTCTGCACCGAGGGGTTCACTGATTGACGAGAGAAAACAAGACATCACAATATATTTAGGCTAATGCTATCATGTCATTGCTCAATTGGGCTGTTTTGTGGTGTTGGTTTTGTTGTTGCTTTTTTTTTTAATGGTTCACACCTAGTTAGTGGAGTATCTAGCGTATTGCTAACATTGAACATGCACCAAGAGGTAAAAAATCCATTCTTGATAAGGTATACAAGCCCTTCTTGTTGTGGTATACAAGCCCTTCTTGATGTGGTATACAAGCCCTTCTTGATGTGGTATACAAGCCATTCTTGATAAGGTATACAAGCCATTCTTGGTGTGGTATAAAAGCCATTCTTGATGTGGTATACAAGCCATACTTGATGTGGTATGCAAGCTATTCTTGATGTGGTATAAAAGACATTCTTGATGTGGTATACAAGACATTCTTGATGTGGTTAAAAAGCCATTCTGGATGAGGTATACAAGCCACTCTTGATGTGGTGTACAAGCCATTCTTGATGTGGTATACAAGACATTCTTGATGTGTTAAAAAGCCATTCTGGATGTGGTATACAAGCCATTCTTTCTTAACATTAGCTACGCCTGTGAATATACTGAAAGAAATCCCAGGATGTTAAGATGAGTTGAGTAGTCAATAATATATCCGTAAGTCAGCTTCAAGACTTCTTTGAACAACGAATAGACTTTAGTCAGGTGGAGTGCAGGAAACCAACACTTTGGTCAGGTGGAGTGCAGGGAACCAACACTTTGGTCAGGTGGAGTGCAGGGAACCAACACTTTGGTCAGGTGGAGTGCAGGGAACCAACACTTTGGTCAGGTGGAGTGCAGGGAACCAACACGTTGGTCAGGAAGAGTGCAGGGAACCAACACTTTGGTCAGGAGGAGTGCAGGCAACCAACATTTTGGTCAGGTGGAGTGCAGGGAACCAACATTTTGGTCAGGTGGAGTGCAGGGAACCAACCCTTTGGTCAGGTGGAGTGCAGGGAACCAACACTTTGGTCAGGTGGAGTGCAGGGAACCAACACGTTGGTCAGGAGGAGTGCAGGGAACCAACACTTTGGTCAGGAGGAGTGCAGGCAACCAACATTTTGGTCAGGTGGAGTGCAGGGAACCAACATTTTGGTCAGGTGGAGTGCAGGAAACCAACGCTTTGGTCAGGTGGAGTACAGGGAACCAACACGTTGGTCAGGAGGAGTGCAGGCAACCAACATTTTGGTCAGGTGGAGTGCAGGCAACCAACATTTTGGTCAGGTGGAGTGCAGGGAACCAACATTTTGGTCAGGTGGAGTGCAGGGAACCAACCCTTTGGTCAGGTGGAGTGCAGGGAACCAACACTTTGGTCAGGTGGAACAGGTGGAGTGCAGGGAACCAACCCTCTGGTCAGGTGGAGTGCAGGGAAACCACACTTTGGTCAGGGGGGGTGCAGGGAACCAACCCGCTGGTTCAGGTGGAGTGCAGGGAACCAACACTTTGGTCAGGAGGAGTACAGGAAACCAACACTTTGGTCAGGTGGGGTGCAGGGAACCAACACTTTGGCCAGGTGGAGTGCAGGGAACCAACACTTTGGTCAGGTGGATTGCAGGGAACCAACACGCTGGCCAGGTGGAGTGCAGGGAACCAACCCTTTGGTCAGGAGTGCAGGGAACCAACACAGTGGTCAGGTGGAGTGCAGGGAACCAACTCATTGGTCAGGAGTGCAGGGAACCAACACTTTGGTCAGGTGGAGTGCAGGGAACCAACTCTTTGGTCAGGAGTGCAGGGAACCAACACTTTGGTCAGGTGGAGTGCAGGGAACCAACCCTTTGGTCAGGAGTGCAGGGTAAGGGGTTAGTAGTAGTAGCCAAGAAATCAAGAAAAAAAAGTATAGACATTTTTACAAAACTTGAGGGTTAACTTTTGGAACAATTGTCAAATAAATAATTATTTACAAACAACAAAACACAACATTCCTGGAGTTGCATGATTTCATTGTATTGACGTGGGCGTGACGCAGTATTAAAGTACAAGCACTAAGCACACAAGTGGGTACTTACAGGAGTCAATGTCATCGGCCGGTGCATTTCGGACCAGTCCGTGAATATCTGTTTCTGTTGTAGGTCAAATGAAAGGCAGATTTAAATGGGTTTATTATACAGGGGATGTAACTCTGATTATTATCTGATCTGAATAAATGCATGCGTTGTTGTCTACCTTAGTTAAGGACTACGTCAAAATGGAATTCTGGTTTTGTTCACAGTTTGCAACCAAAAAAAAAAAAACAACAAAAAACTTAACACGGGTATACTGATGTATGTGTACAGGACCTACTCACTCAACACAGGCCTACTGTTATATATGTACATGACTTACTTAACACAGGCCTACCGATGTATGTGTACAGGACCTAAGTTAATACAGGCCTACTTATGTATGTGTACAGGACCTACTCACTTAAAACAGGTCTGCTTATGTATGTGTACATGACCTAATCACTTAATACAGGCCTACTGATGTGTGTGTACATGACCTACTCAATTAACAGAGGTCCAATTTTGTAAGTGTACATTTCCTACTCACTTAACACATGCCTACTGATGTATGTGTACATGACCTCCTCACTTAACACAGGTCCAATTTTGTAAGTGTACATTTCCTACTCACTTAACACAGGCCTACTGATGTATGTGTACGTGACCTACTCAATTAACAGAGGTCCAATTTTGTAAGTAGACATTTCCTACTCACTTAATACAGGCCTACTGGTATGTGTACATTTCCTACTCACTTAACAGGTGCCTACTGATGTATGTGTACATGGCCTACTCACTTAACAGAGGTCCAATTTTGTAAGTGTACATTTACTACTCACTTAACACAGGCCTACTGATGTATGTGTACATGACCTACTCACTTAAAACAGGTCTAATTTTGTAAGTGTACATGACCTACTCACTGCACACAGGCCTACTGATCTATGTGTTAAATGCCCTACTCACTTAACACAGGCCTACTGCTGGATGCAACACTTTGGTCCAGCTTAAGTCTGAGCAGCGCCTTGGAGATGAGTTGCTCCATGTCCTCGGTCTTCTGGTCATCCTCCCCCGACTCGTTGTACTCGGTGCCCAGGTAATCTTGGAACAGAGGGTCAAGATCATATCTTTAAATGCGACACACAGTGGACGAGTCAAATCCTTAACAGCTGTATCTTTCTGACACATACATATTGTATAGTCATCTAATCGAATAATCTTTATTGATACAATTATGGATAAAATAATTATTTTATCTTGTAGTCATGCTATCGTATAATAGGTTCATCCAGTATTAGCAAATCATCATATAATCATTAATTATACAGTTACGTCATCATATAATACTGATTGACAGAGGTTCATTCTTACCCCCAGTTGTATCGTCGCTCTCATACTTGGGCTGCTTGAGTCTGGCCAGAGCTTTGGCTAAAATCTGTTACATTGGGGGGGGGGGGTGACAATGAAAACTTATTGACTTTGTTAATGTCAATTCACTTGGTAAATTCACCTAGGTTTGTAATTGTATGTTTGTAGGAAGAAGAAAATATAAGTACCGCAGACGAAGGTCGATTATGACAAAGAAACAGTGTAGGTTATTTTAAATGGTTTAGTTAGAGAGTGTATGAGAAAGCTTAACAGAAACAAGTGGTTTAGTTAGAGAGTGTATGAGACAGCTGAACAGTATCAAGTGGTTTGTTTAGTTAGAGAGTGTATGAGACAGCTGAACAGTAACAAGTGGTTTAGTTAGAGTGTATGAGACAGCTGAACAGTATCAAGTGGTTTGTTTAGTTAGAGGGTGTATGAGACAGCTGAACAGTAAAAGTGGTTTAGTTAGAGAGTGTATGAGACAGCTGAACAGTATCAAGAGGTTTAGTTAGGGAGTGTATGAGACAGCTGAACAGTATCAAGTGGTTTGTTTAGTTAGAGAGTGTATGAGACAGCTGAACAGTAACAAGTGGTTTAGTTAGAGTGTATGAGACAGCTGAACAGTATCAAGTGGTTTGTTTAGTTAGAGAGTGTATGAGACAGCTGAACAGTATCAAGTGGTTTGTTTAGTTAGAGAGTGTATGAGACAGCTGAACAGTATCAAGTGGTTTAGTTAGAGAGTGTATGAGACGGCTGAACAGTATCAAGTGGTTTGTTTAGTTAAAGAGTGTGTGAGACAGCTGAACAGTAACAAGTGGTTTAGTTAGAGTGTATGAGACAGCTAAACAAATTAATTACGTTTTCTCTTGTAAAATTATTCTCTCGTGTCATATGATCCATATTTTTGTTTAACAAGTGCTCAGTTGTGCGATTGAAGCTAACGACGCGGTTCAAAAGGTTGGGAGGGTCTAGGTAAGTCTTAAGGAACCAATGCCCCTCTCGTCAAAATAAGTACACCATGCGTCAAAGTAACAGTACTGAAACTGCCGCGTCTTGAACGCGTGCATGCGTCTGTCAACGGTGCATAGTTCCATCCGTCACGTGGTGCCCTGGGGCGCCAAGGAAGTTGTGTTGGGCAGTTGTGGGAAATGGGTATGTCTATGGAGGAACCAATATTGACGTAGTTGAGTACTATTTTCGCTCATACGGAACTGGGCGTGAAAGGGGCCCCGCAGTTTGAAAAAGGTGGCAGAGAAATTCAGAGAAAAATTTAATAAGATACACAAGTAGCGTGGTTATGCTGTCCTTGTTAGGAAATCTCGCCGTTCTAGGAAGTGTACTGTCTCAACGGATGGGTAAGACTGATCAGCCAGTAACGGTTTAGACAAATGAGAATCACGCACGTGTTCTGTAGCAGATTAAATGAGCTCGCCCCTACGACGAACATCTTTGAAACTAAGCATCTGAAACGTTACATCTTTGAAACTACACATATTTGAAACTGAGCATCTGAAACGATACATCTTTGAAGCCACACATCTTTGAAACTGGACATCGGCGATTCATCTGTTTTCCGTCTGTCTAAGTACATGTTCGTACCGGATACAGGTTGTACAACGCTTGACAGAGCCAGATATGCGAGCCAGCATGATGTATTGTGGATCACTTTTGGCTAAAGTGTACGAGAGTCCATCGTTTTTTATGAATGTGTGGTTCGGGGACGATAGTAGCATTCACTTAAACCAGGGGTCTCCAAACTACGCATGCGGCCCTCTTATCCGGCCCACGGAGACTTTTTTGTCTACGGACAAAATTACGGAAATGTACGTGTCTCCTGCCAAGATCAGCCGCCACTTACGTGGACGTTATTTTTGTACCGAATTAAACTAGAGGCGCGCATTTCACAGTCAATGAGATGATATAACGCCATCTAGTGGCTGAGTTTTTAAATGGTTCGCTGCTTCCTCAAGACTATTTTGATTAGGGTTTGCCAGTTGCGGTTGACTGCTGCGATGAAAAGGTGTTGGTGTCAGTTAGCGTCTGATTGCGAAACATTTTATTTAGTGTTAATTTTCTTTGCGTAAATACTTATCCGACACAGTATCACAAGACTGACCCGAATTACACAGCAATGAGGTGGCTAAGTCGTGAGGAAATACGTGACTTCCTGGAAAATAAAGGCAAGCCACAGCCATTACTGTCTGATAAAGAGTGGGTATGGAACTTGGCATATGCTGCAGACATAACTAATCATTTAAATTTTCTTAAACTAAAATTACAAGGAGAGGAAAATCTACTTTCTGATCTATATACATACAGCTAAACGCCTTCAGATCCAAACTCGTCTTGTTTTTGGAACAAGTACAGGCCAAGAACTCGACGCACTTTCAGCAGTGCAAGGTCTTCATGGCTGAATCAACAACGGAGTTCTCCACGTCATTTGCATGCGAGATCATCAAAGACCTCCAGCTGCAGTGTCAGCAGCGGTTTTCTGACTTGGATTCAAAGGCAGAAGAAGTGAGACTGTTTCAAAACCCATTTGAAGCAGATGTGGCCAGTTGACCAGATGAACTGCAGCTGGAGGTCATTGAGTTGCAAGCAAATGACCTCCTTGGGGAAAAGTTCAAGAGGGACTGGTGGGTTTTTACCAGTTTTCGCCCAAGTAAGACTTTCCTAATGTCAAAACTTTTTCATCAATGTACCTTCCGATCTTTGGAACAACATACCTGGGTGAACAAACATTTTCACGAACGAAATACGTGATGAACAATTTGAGAACACATTTGTCCGATGATCATCTCAGGTCACTGTTGATGTTAAGCACATCAAATCGAAAGCCAGAAATGTCTGCGATTGCGGCATCCAGGAAACGATTTCCCCATTCCCACTGATACAGGTGTTCATGTGTAGTGTATCAATGTGTTCTTAAATAATATCTGAATGAAATAATATCACATAAATAATTAAAAACAACATCCATGTTTTGATTCTTTTTTATGTGGGCCTCGAGTGTGTAGTTGCCCTCCCCCCCCCCCCCCCCCCCCCCCCCCCCCAGAAATGCTGTTTGACAGTACATGCGGCCCTCGGGCTGAAAAGTTTGGAGACCCCCTGAATTAAACGGTTACAACGATCACCAGACAACCCTTTGGTTTTGAGCGACCAGATGTTATTTCCAGAAACGGCTACACAGTGCCCATGTGACGTTGTGGTGTGACGTTTCAGTACACGGCATGTCGTGGATAAAGAAGTCAATGCTATCACCGTCACACAAGAACGCTACAGGGGCATGGTGATCGAAAATCTTCTGGGGAATTTGAGAAGGTTCTGTCCTGCAAGGAACCTTCACATGAATAGACAGTGGTATCAACAGGACGGGGCCACCAGCCATACAACAGTGTCTACGTTAGTTTCTTTCTACAGTCAATCAACTTACACATACATAATCGTTTGCCCTGCTGCAGAACTAGTTTCCTGGACGTATCATTTCACGTGGTACGGACTTCCCATATCCGTCTCACTCCTCTGATATTACGTCACCTGAATTCTTGGGGGGGAATGATAAAAGACAGTGTTTTCGACTGAAAAAATCCGCTAAGAACTGCATTATGCGAGGAAATATTCTCCTTTTGCAGGAGCCTGCAGCAACCATTGTTCAGTGATATGTCTGAAAATGTACGTGAGCGATATGGACACTGTCTACAAAAACATGTGTTATATATTCCGTGATGAATGAACACGCCAACAGTGTCTACGTTAGTTTCTTTCTGCAGTCAATCAACTTACACATGACAGTAAGATAGTCCAACTAATATACAGTTATCAAATAAATTTTGAATAGATATGATCAGTGATGACCTCTTTTAGGATACTTGATCTCATTTAGTTTTGACGAGTGTAAACGACAAGACAGACCAGACTAGACAGACCAGACAAGACAGACCAGACAAGACAGACCAGACAACACAGACCAGACAACACAGACCAGACAAGACAGACCAGACAAGACAGACCTGACAAGAGAGACTAGACAAGACGGACCAGACAAGGTGGACCAGACAAGACAGACCAGACAAGACTGACCAGACAAGACTGACTAGACAAGACTGACCAGACAAGACAGACAGACCAGACAAAACATAACAGACCAGACAGATTAGACCAGACAGACAGGGGTAAAAGGCCTTGTAATGTCTTTATTGGAGGTAAACACGTACAAAATATTAATCTAGGGCAGACAAAACAAAAACAAACTGCATTGGAGTTTTGAAACAGTTGAAGAAAGTTGTCACTGAATGGGAATTCTGGGGTCAGCTGTAGAAACCAATGTGTTTTGAAACAGTTAAAGAAAGTTGTCATTGGATGGGAATTCTGGGGTCCGTTTAGAAACCAATGTGTTTTGAAACAGTTAAGGAAAGTTGCCATTGGATGGGTATTCTGGGGTTAACTGTGCAAACCGCAATGTTACCTGAATGGATTGGTCGTCATATTTGGAGGCTGGATTCGGCGTCGGAATGGTGTCTTTGGCAATTAAATTCTGAAACGAAAGGAATGGAGAATATATGATGAATAAAGAATCGACCAGGAGTAAACAAAATAAGAATAATTGGTGATTAATTGGTGATGAATAGATAACTGGCGATAAATAGAAAATTGGAATTGTTCAGCTTCGTGGTGACTCCCAAATCCCTATGATGGCTCAGTAGTATGGACAAACTAAATATTTTTAAAGCAAAGAAAACTACATGGATTTGACCTTTCGTGTTGTCGCCACTGTGGTGTCTTTGACCTGTTGGTCATCGGGGCGCATGTCCTCAGACGCCACCGGTTCAACCTGTTTGGACTGGTCAGCCGTCGGGTGGACCGCCACGGACTTGAGGTCATCCTCATCATTCAGATCTAGCTGGGAGAGCTGGGCGAGCAACAATCATTGTAATGGTTGAAGTGGCGGGACCGGAAGAAAAAACAACTATTAAGTGGGGTCTACACAAATGATGGGAAGTGGGTGGGGCAGCCTGCGCACGTAGGAGCTGCCCCTGTCATCATCTCAGAAATGTGTATGTTTAACTTGCAGTTATAAGCTGGCCACATTCAAAGTCTAATGTGTCCAACTCAAATGCATCTATAGAGTGTTTATTTTGTCAATGTTGCAGTTCTACAAAGCTATACACAAGCCTCCCATGGCTGTTACAATTATACCACTTACTGACAGTTCTACAAAGCTATACACAAGCCTCCCATGGCTGTTACAATTATACCACTTACTGACAGTTCTACAATGCTATACACAAGCCTCCCATGGCTGTTACAATTATACCACTTACTGACAGTTCTACAGTGCTATACACAAGCCACTCCTGACTGTTACAATAATATCACTTACTGACAGTTCTACAAAGCTATACACAAGCCACTCCTGACTGTTACAATTATACCACTTACTGACAGTTCTACAAAGCTATACACAAGCCACTCCTGACTGTTACAATTATACCACTTACTGACAGTTCTACAAAGCTATACACAAGCCACTCCTGACTGTTACAATTATACCACTTACTGACAGTTCTACAAAGCTATACACAAGCCACTCCTGACTGTTACAATTATACCACTTACTGACAGTTCTACAAAGCTATACACAAGCCACTCCTGACTGTTACAATTATACCACTTACTGACAGTTCTACAAAGCTATACACAAGCCACTCCTGACTGTTACAATTATACCACTTACTGACAGTTCTACAAAGCTATACACAAGCCACTCCTGACTGTTACAATTATACCACTTACTGACAGTTCTACAAAGCTATACACAAGCCACTCCTGACTGTTACAATTATACCACTTACTGACAGTTCTACAAAGCTATACACAAGCCACTCCTGACTGTTACAATTATACCACTTACTGACAGTTCTACAAAGCTATACACAAGCCACTCCTGACTGTTACAATTATACCACTTACTGACAGTTCTACAAAGCTATACACAAGCCACTCCTGACTGTTACAATTATACCACTTACTGACAGTTCTACAAAGCTATACACAAGCCACTCCTGACTGTTACAATTATACCACTTACTGACAGTTCTACAAAGCTATACACAAGCCACTCCTGACTGTTACAATTATACCACTTACTGACAGTTCTACAAAGCTATACACAAGCCACTCCTGACTGTTACAATTATACCACTTACTGACAGTTCTACAAAGCTATACACAAGCCACTCCTGACTGTTACAATTATACCACTTACTGACAGTTCTACAAAGCTATACACAAGCCTCCCATGGCTGTTACAATTATACCACTTACTGACAGTTCTACAGTGCTATACACAAGCCACTCCTGACTGTTACAATAATATCACTTACTGACAGTTCTACAAAGCTATACACAAGCCACTCCTGACTGTTACAATTATACCACTTACTGACAGTTCTACAAAGCTATACACAAGCCACTCCTGACTGTTACAATAATATCACTTACTGACAGTTCTACAAAGCTATACACAAGCCTCCCATGGCTGTTACAATAATATCACTTACTGACAGTTCTACAAAGCTATACACAAGCCACTCCTGACTGTTACAATTATACCACTTACTGACAGTTCTACAAAGCTATACACAAGCCACTCCTGACTGTTACAATTATACCACTTACTGACAGTTCTACAAAGCTATACACAAGCCTCCCATGGCTGTTACAATTATACCACTTACTGACAGTTCTACAGTGCTATACACAAGCCACTCCTGACTGTTACAATAATATCACTTACTGACAGTTCTACAAAGCTATACACAGCTATACACAAGCCTCCCATGGCTGTTACAATTATACCACTTACTGACAGTTCTACAGTGCTATACACAAGCCACTCCTGACTGTTACAATAATATCACTTACTGACAGTTCTACAAAGCTATACACAAGCCTCCCATGGCTGTTACAATTATACCACTTACTGACAGTTCTACAAAGCTATACACAAGCCACTCCTGACTGTTACAATTATACCACTTACTGACAGTTCTACAATGCTATACACAAGCCTCCCATGGCTGTTACAATTATACCACTTACTGACAGTTCTACAGTGCTATACACAAGCCACTCCTGACTGTTACAATAATATCACTTACCAGTTTTTGAAGTCTTTGAAGCTATAAAAGGAAATAATAATATTAAATTAAGGTGCATTCATTTTTGTTTTTAAATAACGCAGCAAAAAATCTCATCTTACTGAAACATTTTAAGCTGTTAACTTAATATTATATGACAACTCGGAGCATCTAGTGTTTAAGCTGATGGTAAATTAATAACAATAAAATAATAATAAATAATATAATACCGGTAATAAAGTACAACGTCGATTATCCGAACTTCGTGGTAACCGAACACTCCCGCATAAAGAAGTTACTGCATTGAACAAACTATATTATGGGTGTTTCGCGCAAAAAAATATCAGTTTAGTTTATATAATTCAGAGGTCCCCTTCAGATTCTTTTTTTTTTTTAATCATTTTGGAAGTTATCACAAAACTTGAAAACTTACACTGGTATATCATTTATTATTTCAACAGCAAAACATTGGAAAGTGAAAATTTCAATGTCATTTTTTTTTAAAATTTAAACCACATCATAACCCAATTATTTCTATTCTTTCCCGCTTCAATTTGTGGATTTTTAGATTATTTTTAATATCCTTTCTTTATTATTTTTTAACCATTGTATTTAATTTTTTTTTGAAGTTAAAATTGTTTAACGTCTTTTGTAATTTAAAAAAAAAAAACTTTTTTATTATTATTTTTTAAATTTTTAATTGCATCGTTAAAAAAAATTAGAAAAGGGATATTATTGAAATTTATTTTCATGAAAAAAAAAAAAAAAAAAAAAAAAAAAAA